GGTTGCTTGTGTGCTGATTGTAAAATTAAGAAATAAAAAGAACCAAGTACCAGTAGGAGATAGAGATTTACAAAGACTCCACACTGATTCATATTCTCATCTTAGCACGTTTACAAGCTCCGAGTCCAAATTACTGTCCAGTTCTCCTCAACCAACAGGTGTTGTCCCCGACTCTCCTTGGAACACAATGACAATGATGACTCCTAATGATTCTTATGGACAAAGACCCCCACAGCCTCTTCCTAATGAAGGAGTTTCAGAATACGCAGAAATACCAAGCTACCATATGCCACCTCATAGTGATATCACTAATAATCCAACTTATACTCAAGTTGATCTAAATCAAGCTGAACCCGACAAAGCTAATGGTGAATATCCCCCTAGTGATAAAGAGAGAATGTCCCCTCCTCCAAGTGGACAGGTTGATAATCCTGCCTACGGTACAGCAGGTAACCCAGCTCCTTACATAAAACCAGTCAATAGATATGCTGAGAGTCCAATAGCTGACGAGCCTAGTGACGAATATATTTAACTAGTTTATGGCGTGTGTATGTGGTACGTCGATTGTTTTGTGAGTAAAAAATTAATTTCTTTTTTGTTTTATTTTTATAAAAATACATATTACAATTAATAAATTATTGAGGAGTCTCATTAACACGTGACAAAATATAACTGCAATAATTATTCAGGGCAAGATTGTCCAACCACATCTCTTTGGCATCTAAACCATCAACAGGTTTAAGATTTGATGTTAGCTTTTGCAACTTATTCTCAGCTAAAGAGCGAGATTCAACATCTAATGTCTCCATTAAAGATTTCAAAGCAACAGAGATGTGCATTAACAGTTGTGCTGGTTCAATGTAAGAGTTAGATCTGTCTTCCTCAAAAAGAAGTGAACTGACAGAGCTAGTAGGAATAGGGGTAGACTTAGGAGAGGGAGAAGAATCAAAATCCAAAGATGAGAGAGAGAGCAATAGTGAAAATGAGGTCGGAGGATCGTAAAGTGAAGCAATAAAGTTAATCAATGACTTGATACATAATTGCTGGCACATTATGAGCTTTGATGAATCACCATCACCTAAAAATAACAATAATGTAGCACTTTCTCTAATAATATTATTCTTATTACTTTTAATGATATTCTGCTGTACAGTGACTGTCATTGCTGATCTTACTTCAGCCTCAACATCATGCAACAATATAAAGACCATTCTCCAATACAGTACTGAAGAGGACTCTATATTGTGCAAAACTGTCCATTTCTGTCCTAACACTTTTGCTACTTCAATTCTGATATCAACAGGTGAACTATCATTGCAATAGCTACATAAACACTCCAACAATGTAGGAAGAGAATCACTAATACATGAATGCACCAAGTATTTCAATGCAGTATTGAACCAGCTAATAATGGAGACTTTAACG